GGGGTAGTGTAAGGAAAATTACTTTTCCTTACTTCGCGCCCCTGCTTACCGCGTACATGACTATTCCCGCCACCAGCACCCCACAGTAAAACGTTACCCGCTCGCGGCATTCGCCTCGACCACTGTTCCCGCCAGTGTACACCTCGCGACCCAACCTCACCGTTCGGTTGGTAACCCGCGCTCCGGTCCTCCGCCTCGACATTTCCCAACCTCGGCGCTAGGCCCGTAGCGCACCCCAATTTCTCGCGTTACCGTTACCACGCTGGCTTCGCTATATATTCTTCGCTCATGCCTTCGCTCAATGTATTGTTTTTGCTTCGATAGTGCAATTCTCGCTTGCTCGCTCAATTGCACTCGTAACGAGGGCCTCAGATATCAGGAAAAAAACCATGAAATTCCTGATTTTGGCAGTCCTTTCTCAACCTACCCTGAAAAACCAGTGTTTAGATTTTTGTGGGACTGATCTTTCAGCCTTTTTTGTTAGGCCACACTGAAATTTCAGTTTTTTTTTTCCAAGTACACTGATGCCGCAACATTCAAACGAAACTAACACTGAAAGCGATTCTTACCTGTGTCGTGTGGATTTGACCGCAATTACTGGGAATCTCAGATTCCCGCGGTGTGGGCACCCCGTGGCGAGACGAACCTGTGAAATTTTGCCTCAAATTCAGGATTGAGAGGTGCTTTGCGGCGCAGCGCCACACATCATTGGACCGTTTTGCTGCAGCATATTTTCTTGGCCAATCCGAACGTGGCCACCATCACCTGCAATGCGACGCGTTAGGATTGGCCTGTGCTGTGCTGGCAAGCACCGTGCCATCCATCTTGACGTCAAGGTGGGGATGCTTCCACGCTGCCCAGCCCATGCTACGTGGTTGCCATCCAGGGGCCCCTTCTTCTCCAAGCTTTGCATCCGAAGTTGGGTTTCCCCCTTTCTTCCTAGTGTACCAAGAGGCAGCCAGCCGTGGCCTGTGCTTTGCCTGTGCAATCCCTTGCATCTACTCTCGTCGTCACTAGCTTAGATGTGAGGCCGTCCCCGCTGCTTACCATGGGTGAACACCTTGACGGCACGGAAGCAAACGGCGAACACGGCGGTGATGCGCATCGCCAGCCGCCTGTAGTCCGTTCTGAAGCAGTTACCGGCCTCGATTGATTGTTTTCGAGCATACCGGAAGTCAACGACAACGAGAAGCCACCAGATCTCGAGCCGCCCGACAAAATCCCGTTCGAACACATCGATGAGGAGGGTTGGTGTGCATCCCCGACAGCGCCAGTCACGGAGAAGGACAGCTCGCCGCCTCCAGCTGAAAAACCGGCTCCCGAACCCGTGGCCAAGAAATCCGGCCGATACATGCAGTCAACGCTACCATGGTTTACAAAGGGCGCTGACGACGGAGCTACCCCGCCTTCGCCAGCCGACCAACGGTCGTCGCCCGTGATTGCCGGCCCGCAGGAGTCGCCATCGGTTCCTGGTCCTTCTAAGTAGTCAGGACGCGACGCGATTTAAGTACCGAGTCTCTGTATAAGTACAAGACCGAGTGGCTAGATAGATTTTCGTGGCTCATTCTTTTGCGGCAATCTGACGGTCTCCCAGCTTTCAAGTGCTCTATCTGTACCGAGCATGCAGGTTACGCTGGAAAGTGCGGAAAGGGCGGGAGGGATGCCTCGGACGTACAGACGCAGGCTTTCAAGAGGCATGCTGCAACAACAAAGCACAAGGAGGCGGTCAAGCACCAGGAAAAGCTTCTTGCTGAAGCTGGCCGGCAGCCACGAATCAACGGTGACAACCTCGCTCGATACACCGAGAAGGAACGCGTCATCGAGCTGTACGACTCCCTGCTCTTCGTAACCAAGCAAGATGCACCCATTGAGTTATGGGTGCAACTTGTTCGCTATCTCGCGGCGAAGAAGGTTCCGGGATTCCCCGCGAAAGGATACGGAACCTACTACACAACGTGAGTACCCGCTGTCAGATATTGTTCGTGATGTTACTTTTGTTTACCTTTTGTATAAGCCCTAAAATTGACTCACATGCTCCACAGGTACTGCTTTGGGCAACTAACACAAGCGATAGCCACGTGGTTGCACACAACGCAACTCCAGCGCATTCTTACAAGTCCTTACATCGGAGTTACATGTGACGAGAGCACGGACAGGTGCCGGGGAAAGCATATGATCATTTTCGCGACCTTCATCCGTGAGAATCGCGTCATCACCGAGTTCCTTGCCCTTCTGACTGTGGAGAAGTGCGACGTCGCCTCTCTACTCTCAGTGTTTGTGTCCCACCTGCAGGCCCTCGGCATCGAGCTTGCCAAGATCGCTGGTATGAGCACCGATGGCGCGAGTGTGATGATGGGACACAAGAATGGTCTTGTCGCTCGACTGCGCCTCCGCATACCGCATCTCGTCTCAAGCCACTGCATAGCCCACAGGTACGTTCGCTTTTGCACTAGCGCCAATCCTGCTTATCCGTATCGCGGCCTTGCTGATACCCCGTGTTGCATGTTTGTGTTGTGATGTGCCTGCAGGGAGGCCCTCGCGGCAAAAGATGCAGCGGAGGCAATCCCCGAGTTCGACATGGTCGACGGGCTGATCCGTCAAGTCGCAGAGTATCTCGGCCGTTCCAGCCCCTGGCACCAACGATTTCTGGAGCTGCAGGAACTCTTCACGGCTACGAACCTGCAGCTTCAAGGCATTCATCAAGTCCGCTGGCTCTCCAGGGGTGATGCCGTTCTGCGAACGGTGACGGTCTTCCCTGCGCTCATCGTCATGCTGTATGAGTGGGACGAAACTCTGTACGAGCTCGCCACCAGCTACAGGTTCCATTTCTTGTTGTTCTTCCTTGCAGACGTGCTCGAGCAGCTGAACATCTTGAACAAGTCCTTCTAGCAGCGAGAGGTGAGCAACAAGTCCTTTCAGCGTGTGCTGCACTTGTCATGATGTCTAGTTCTTGTATGCGTGGCTTCTGTGTGTGTATGTCAATGCATTTATATTGTGGGAGCTTAAGCACAACACTGATTGTTTGATAAATCACCCCCCCGGCTCGCTTTCCTTGTGTCCCTCTGTGTTATTTATGTCGGCATCTCATAGCTTGACATCGCAGGTGTCCATGCGCAGATCAGGAGGACCATGTCTCACCTGGAGACCCGCTACGTCGACTGCGGCGACGATTTTGGAGGCGGGTTGAGCGCGCGCCTGTCCCCGTTCATCATGAAGTACGGGCCTGACAGTGACAAGCCCGAGGTGACGGTGCAGGGTGTGGACTCTAACGGTCGGCCGACTACACACAAGTTCCAACTGCATGAGAACCCAAACGAGGACTACCCAACTCTGGGAACACAAGACGCCTGCGTCGATCTCTGCACCTCATTTGCCGAGACGCTCGTCAGTAACCTCAGCAAGAGGTTTGAAGACTTGAACTCCCTTGTGGGAGTGAGGCTCTTCATGCTAGACGAGTACCCGCCTGGGAGAGCGGAGCGCCACAAACAGTGTCTCGAGTGGCTCATGTCACTCGTCTCGCTGTTCAGAGCCCAGGAGACTGACCACATCCTTCCAGGTAATCGCATTTTGTGCACCCTTGTTGTCCATGATTCTCTTTGTTCCTATGTTTCAACAGTGCCATGCATACACGGGTATACCATGCCAAGCCATCCAATCTAACTGACAATCTCCCTTCTGTTTTGTGTGGCAGGGATCGACAAACGGAGGGCGATCAAAGAACTGCGTGCCTTCTGCCCCATCCTCGCAGGTGCCCCGAAAAACGAGCGAAGCTTCCACGCCGGGCTAACAGCGATGCTGAAGACAAGCGACTGGACGACTAGCTACCCCAACCTCGTGCGTCTCTGGGTGGCTGTCGCAGTGCTGCCGCTGAGCACTGTGGAATGTGAGCGCGGGTTTTCCCGCCAGAATATCATCAAATCGTGGCAGCGTGGGACCCTCAAAGACGCTCGGCTTGAAGATCTTGTCACGATGTCGCTCCTCGGCTACGAGCCCGACTACAACGAACTGGTGAAAATATGGCGCAGCTACAAGAAGCGCCGGCCATTTGGCAATGTGGCAGCACCTCCAGCAAGAGAGGGGGAGGGAAGTGGCAGGGGAAAGGAGGCACTTGAGGAGTGGGAAGAGCCAAAGGCCCAGGGGAGTGATGATGAGTCTGATTCCGATGCTGATGCATGCATGACTCCTATCAGATGAGAGCAGCTGCTCTGCTCTAGGAAGCTATTGTACTCCTGAATTAAAAATCAAGACTTCATAATAGTTTCAGCCTTTTTACTAGTTCAACCCTGATGGATCAGTCTGTTTTTTAGGACAACACTGTCATTTCAGCCTTTTTTTTTAAGAACACTGTCAATCAGTGAATCTGAAGGGGACCCTGAAGGGTATATGACCCTAAAAGTGAATCTGAGGCCCTGCTCGTAACACCAGTTCAACCTGAACAAACATCATGTACAATATTTACAAATTGCACAAACACATGCAGATGCAATGCCTCCAAATCAACGCTACCCCACTGGATCACCCGCAAAGGAACACCATCAGAGCCTTCATCAGCATGAACGACGCATTCACCACAGTCACAAACACAGCCGTATGAGCTGCAGTCATACAGCTGGCTCTTCACAGTGCTCCGGAACTTGGCCTCGAGGTCATCCGCCAGAGCAGCCTGCTTCGCCTCCAGCGCTGGAAGCAGCGCAATGATACCTACAGTACCGTATCAGCACTACAAGCCCTACGGGCCCCGCTCGTACAGCTCGCTCCTCACAGTGCTCCAGAACCTGACCTTGAGATTGTCGGCTAGCGCAGCCTGCTTCTTCACTACCTCCCCCCCCAGCAGCATGAGGGTAGGGACCTTCATTAACCCCTATGGGCCCCGCTCGTACAGCTCGCTCCTCACAGTGCTCCAGAACCTGGCCTTGAGCTCGTCCGCCAGCGCACCCTGCTTTGCCTTGAGCTCCCGAATCAGCATGATGAGCCCTACTGCATCACCACCACTACAAGCCCTACGAGCGCCCCTCGTACAGCTCGCTCCTCACAGTGCTCCAGAACCTGGCCTTGAGCTCGTCCGCTAGCGCTGCCTGCTTGGCCTCTAGCGCCCCCAACTCTGCCTGCTGCGCTTCCAGCTGCCTCTCTGCCTCTGCCAGTGCTTCCCCTTCCTTGTCACCCCCCAGTAGTGCCTGAAGAAGAGGAGCAAGAGAGAGTGGGCAAGATTCGAACAAGGGATGGAAGGGAGAGGGGGAAAGAGAAGGGAAAGGGGGGGCGGGAAAGAGACGGGAAAGAGGAGACAGGAAAGAGGAAGAGGGAAAGATGCATGGTGGAGTACACACGTGCGCGAACCCAAAGGGTGCAAGAACGGAGGGCCAGGTGCTAACAAACACAAACCCATCCTCGCACCCGTTTATCCCATACACACACAGCTCCACCTGTCCATCCTCCCTTCTTCCGCACCACACACACAACCCCAACATGTCTCCCCCCCACTTGCTCCCACACACAACCCTTACATATCCTCCCCACTATCCCCACCCTTACAACGCACACCCCACCCCCAACGTACCTCGTAGCTTGCTCTGATCTTCGCCTCTTGCACTGCTTTGTCCCTCTCTGCCCTCTCTGCCACGCCACACGCACTCAGTCACCCCTCACGTGCCCCCCCCCCACACCCCACACACTCAGCCCCCATGTGCCCCCAATGGCCCCCAACCGACACACCCCAACCCCAACGTACCTCGTAGCTTGCTCTGATCTTCGCCTCTTGCACTGCCTTGTCCCCCTCTGCCCTCTCTGCCACCCCTCGCGCTTCCTTTGCCGCCCTCTCAAGGCTCTCCGCCCTCGCCACCTGCTCAGTGGAAACGCACAACACAACACACCACAGCACAGCACAAATCAACATAGGAGTATGAGACACACGGGTTCAAGGTTCCATAAGAACCATCTCCGCGCCTCCCTGCCCACCCCCTCAAGGCTCTCCACCCGCCCCACCTGCATGATGCAACGCACAGCACATCACAACATCTCATCAAAACACACCAGTTCCTCGTGTGCTTTCAGTTGTGTGTTTTTCCACTCGGGACTCAAAGCACAAAAACAGTTCACCTGCATGCCGCTCCTCAGGACTCAAACCTACCAGCTCTTGCACTGCATCGGCCATCTCCCTCAGCCGCTCATCCCGCTCCTCCTCCATCCGCCCCACCTCCCTCCTGCTCCTCTCCAGCTTCCCCCGCATGTCCCTCACAGCGCACGCACGCTCCTGCACGGCTCTCCTCTGCGCCTCCTCTCTCGCCTGCAGTGCATGCCACACCACCACCTCCATCATTCACTTACCACCACCTCCATCATTCACTCACCACCACCTCCATCATTCACTTACCACCACCTCCATCATTCACTTACCACCACCTCCATCATTCACTTACCACCACCTCCATCATTCACTCACCACCACCTCCATCATTCACTTACCACCACCTCCATCATTCACTTACCACCACCTCCATCATTCACTTACCACCACCTCCATCATTCACTTACCACCACCTCCATCATTCACTTACCACCACCTCCATCATTCACTTACCACCACCTCCATCATTCACTTACCACCACCTCCATCATTCACTTACCACCACCTCCATCATTCACTTACCACCACCTCCATCATTCACTCACCACCACCTCCATCATTCACTTACCACCACCTCCATCATTCACTTACCACCACCTCCATCATTCACTCACCACCACCTCCATCATTCACTTACCACCACCTCCATCATTCACTTACCACCACCTCCATCATTCACTTACCACCACCTCCATCATTCACTCACCACCACCTCCATCATTCACTTACCACCACCTCCATCATTCACTTACCACCACCTCCATCATTCACTTACCACCACCTCCATCATTCACTTACCACCACCTCCATCATTCACTTACCACCACCTCCATCATTCACTTACCACCACCTCCATCATTCACTTACCACCACCTCCATCATTCACTTACCACCACCTCCATCATTCACTTACCACCACCTCCATCATTCACTTACCACCACCTCCATCATTCACTTACCACCACCTCCATCATTCACTTACCACCACCTCCATCATTCACTAACCACCAGCTCCTGGTGTGTTTTCAGTCAGACTCACACCACACCTGCAAGCCACCTGCAAGCCACCAGCACGCACACACCACGCACGTACCAGCTCGTGAACCGCCTCCTCCATCTCCCTCAGCCGTTCATCCCGCTCCTCCTCCATCCGCCTCGCCTCCCTCCTCCGCCTCTCCATCCGTCCCCGCATGTCCCGCACAGCCCGAGCACTCTCCTGCACCTTCCTCCTCTGCGCCTCCTCTCGTGCCTGCAGTGCATGCCTCACCACCACCTCCATCATTCTCTCGTCCATCGCTGTCACCATCCCGCCCAGCCCCATCATTCCAGGGCCTCTGAGAGTAGGCCCGGCCACAGCAAGACTAGGCCCACCCACACCAGCCCCCTCCCCTCCTCCAGCCCCCCCTCCACCTGCCTGGGTCATCACAGCAGCAGGGCGCTTCACACCCCGCGGCCCAGCAGCAGCATCAGCCGCCCCTGTGTCGCCTGCACTCTGTTTCCCCACCTCATGAACCACTAGGCCCTTCTCGCCCTGACGTGACTCGCTGGGCTGCTGCTCGTCCAGGCGCCAAGCAGGAGGCACAGCAGGAGCAGCTGACGGCGTGACTGGCGCTCCAGCAGGGGAAACTGGGGCCCTTAAAGCTCCAGCAGGTGCTACGCCTGGTGCTGCCGCACCTGGTTGTTTTGGCGCTCCTTCTGCTGCTGCTGGAGCTGACTTTTGATACGTCTTAAGAGTCGCTCCTGCTCCTGCTGGGGCTGCTGCTGCTGGTGCAGCTGCTGGGGGTTGCTTTAGTGCGGCTCCTGTTGCAGGGGACGCAGCAGCAGGAGTGGATTCACCCTGCCTTGCGCCACCCTTTCCTGCTGCTGCTGCTGCCTCTTGCTGCTGCTTCTCCTGTGGTTGTGCCTGCTGCGGCTGCTGCTGCTTCGCAGAGGCTTGAGCATCCAAACCGCCAACCATCTCGACACGTTCAGCGTCACCTTCAACCGCATCTTCCTCAGCCTCAGCCTCTGCCGCAGCCTGTTCACCCTCCGCCCCCTGCACACCCACTTGCTGCACCTGCAGCTGCACCGTGGTCTCTGTGACTGTCACCACCTGCTGCTCTTCCGACACAGGCACTGTCTCTGTGTGCGTCTGCGTCGCAACTACCCTCAATGCCCTCCCTCCCTCGCCTATTGTTGCCCCTCCCTCCTCACCCTCCCTATCTCGCAACCCTGCAACCTCCAGCTCGCCTAACCTCTTGTTTCCGCCGCTTCCCTCTCTCTCTCTTCCCTCCCTGCCTCTTCCGATCACCCCTTCTACCCAACCCCTCTTCACTCGCCTTGTTACTTTCCCTGCTGCTGCTGTCCCTGCTACAGTTGGAGCAGATCGTGCCTCAACTTGCCGAGCCCGTACTTGCCGAGCCTCAGCTTGCCGAGCCTCGACTTGCCGAGCCTCCGCCTCTTCTGCAGCTATCGCCTCTCTCAGCAGCCCCTGAATCTCCTCCTGCACCGCCTCCCCTCCCCCCTCCTCACTCCCTCCTTCCAATCCCACCACCTCCTCTTCCTCCTCTCCTCCCCGCACCTCCTCCTCCCCCTCCCCTTCTTCTTCCTCCTCTAGAGTCTCACTCTCCGCCTGCCTCTCCGCCACCAGCGCGCCTTGCTCCGCCGGGGGGAAGTCTTCCAGCCTCAATCCGCGCAACAGGCTCCGCTCCGCCCCGCCTCTTTCCACCCCGCCTCTGCCCTCCGCTCCGCCTTGGCGCTCCTCTAAGCGCCCTACGCGTCCCTCCGCCTTCGCCTTAACCGCGCGACCTCGTCGCCCTGTTTCCGCCACCCCCCTCGCCTCTTTTGTCGCCCCGTGCCCCTTCAAACCAGCCCGTCCTTCGCCCGCTGTTTCCTCTTCTCCGCGACTTCCGAGCGCCTGTTCCGCCGCACCCACCCGCTTCTTTCCGCCACGCCCCCGCCGAGCGTGCTTCGATCTGTCTCCGCCTCGTTCTCCCTCCCCTCTCTCCACCGATCCGTCACATCTCTCAACCGACGCTACGGCAGAAGCCTTTCCTTTTCTCGTCACGCCCTCGCGATCCTTTCCCTTCCTTTCGCGCCTATCTCCCGCGGCGATCGTTCCTCGCGGCGAACTTCCAGATTCACGAACCATCTCTGCACGCAGTGAGGCGAGAAGCAGCTTTCAAGCGGGCCGTGTGACGAAACCCTAACGGATCTTCCCAGTTCTCTTTCCTGCGCCTCCCTTGCGCCACCCTTGCGCCTCCCGTGCCGGAATCTTGCGGTACTAACGAGGACGCTTCCCCCTGCGTCCATCGTCCAGCTTGCAGCGACGCGACGCAACGCCACGGCGTGGCGTCGCGCTGCTGCTCTCACATCTACGCCAGCTGCGTAATGCGTGGCCCGGTGCTGAGGTCGCTTGCATGCGAGAATGCGGTGAGGTCTGAGAGGAAGGCGCGGCTAGAACAGTCGAGGCTGCAGCTTTGACACGTGGCAGTTTCAGGATGCATGTGGTGGGAGGTTCGTACGCGTTTCTGTCACATGAAGCTCAATCTTCCGCAACCACTTCTGTAGCTGCTGAACTAGATGTGTGAACTTTTGAAGACGATAACGGGTTACTAAACAATAAAATGCATTACACATCCAGCCTCCTCTCATGAACATGCAATCAGACATCAGAACGAGTAACCTCCACCTTAGTTACAAAAATACCCATTACTACCCAAAAGCATGAGTATCCGATTCTAGAAAGTCGGACCTGCCATCATGCCAGCAAAATCCAGCAAAAAGACATCTCATCTCACCAGTGCCCCTCCTCTTGGCCAGTCAAAAGTTCAAAACCTCCAAATGAAGCTACCAGCACAACCAACATTCTCTGCCACACTCCTTATTCCCCATGGATCTCCCTCAAAAACCTTCCCATCACATTTGAACCAAATGACACACCCCACGCACAGACCTATCTGCAAAATTGTGGAACCATGGCCAGACAGCCAACCTATCATCAACCAGCTCCAGCCATCTCACCAACCAATGCCCAGCCATCCCATCCCAGCTATATCACCCATGACCCAGTGCACCACAAAAAACCCATTAAGCCCTAGAATTGTGCAACCATCCCATCAACAACCACCCAGCCATCCCGTATCCCATCCCTCCCACCCTAACCACCAAATGCCACACAGCCATCCCACCAACCAACCCCCAGCCATCCCTTCCCTCCCACCCTAACCACCCATGGCCCACTGCACCACAAGGAACCCATTAAGCCCTATAATCACCAGCGTCAGGAGAATCGCCAGAATCATGCTCACCCACCCATTCACAAACTTCCCCATGCGAGCCGGTGACGACGTGAAATGCACCAGCGGCGCAATGGCAAACGGAAGCTGCAGCGACAGAATCACCTGGCTCAGCACCAGAAGCTTCCCGGCGCCTTCCATGCCGCTGATAGCAGCCACAATGACAGCAGGGATGATCGCGATGCAGCGAGTCACCATGCGACGGAGCCACGGCGGAAGCTTCACGTCCACAAATCCCTCCATCACAATTTGACCCGCGAGCGTTCCAGTGATGGTCGAGTTCTGCCCGCTTGCCAGCAGCGCGACGCCGAAGAGGATACGCGCGGCGGTGTCGCCGATGGCGGGCGCGAGCAGGTGGTACGCGTCGCTGATATCCGCCACGGTCTGCTGGCCTGACGCGTTGTAGTAAAACGCAGCGGCTGCGAGGATCAGAATCGCCGCGTTGACGAAAAACGCGACGAACAGCGACAGGCACGAGTCCCACGTGCCATAACGGACCGCCATGCGCTTCCCCTCGGCGGTTCGGCTGTAATTACGCGTCTGTATGATGCTGGAGTGGAGGTAGAGGTTGTGCGGCATGACCGTTGCTCCCAGGATACCCACGGCCGCGTATAGCACGTCAGGGTTGGTGAAAATCTGGCCTGACGGAATGAACCCTTTCATAACTAGGACCCAATCGGGCCGCACCGCGATCAGCTCGTACGTCATGCACGCGGCGATTAAAGCGCAGAGAATGAAGATTAAGAGCTCCAGCACGCGCGCGCTGCGGCTGCCGAGGAAGACAATAAGGAGGCAATCGGCTCCCGTTATAAGGATGCCTATCCATAAGGGTAAGCCGAATAGAAGGTACATGGCGGTCGCGGATCCGATCACCTCCGCGAGGTCGGTGGCTGCGATGGCGATTTCGGCGAGAATCCAGAGGGTAAGATTAGCGTAGCGCGGGTACGCGTCGCGGCAGGCCTGCGCGAGGTCCCTCTCGCCGACGACGCCGAGCTTTAAAGACAGGCTCTGGAGGAACATAGCGCAGATGGACGACATGAGCACGACGAACAGCAGCGTGTATCCGAACGCCGACCCTCCCGCAATGTCCGTCGCCCAGTTTCCCGGGTCCATGTACCCGACGCTGACGACAAATCCCAGGCCGGTGAACGCGAAGAGCTTGTAGTACCAGGCCGATTCGGGAGGCGGCACGTAGACGGACGAGTGGAGGTCGTCGAGGGACTTGTTGTGCGGCACGCGACGCCAGCCGGCCAGGAGCCGCTGCTTCTCCTCTATTTCCGCCGGAGTGCCTTCCGCTGCAGCCTCGGAGACGGACGAACGTCTGCTGCCGTCCTCGGGTAAATCGGCTAAATCCCTCGTTGGAGAATTATCAGCCATGTCGGAGGAGATTTCCATCAGTGATCCGCGAGTAGCTTGTCCCAAGGACTCGGAGCTGTGAACCACGCTTCGACCAGGTGACAAAGCAGCGACTTCGCGACCGCCGTGTGAATCGGCGGCTGTTTCGGGATCCGGTCCATCACTGCTCCGTCCGTGGTGTCTTCCGAATGCTTTCTGGACGGAGACTAATGCGGAAGTAGACGGATTCGTAAACCAGCCCATCTTGGCCGAATACCAAGGAACGAAAAACTAAGACGGATAATCGACGAAGCAATTGCGCATAGGAGCTCCTTAGACTGCTGAATGCTCGGGAATGGATGAGAGACTCGATTAGTGGAAGGATGCCGAGGTGGCCTGTTCTTGCTTGTGGTTGAGCGGGCTCCAGGTCAGCCTGCGTCTGACCAGGCAGGCGAAAAAGCAACCCACACCAAGTTCCTCTTCCGACCTTGTCAGAACCCCGCCGAAGCAAAAGCCTTGGGGCCGATCTGAACGATATACAAACCGCTGTGAAGCACGCTGATTTTCATGTTCTCTTCCGCTGGTTCACGCTTCCCAATCTGCTCTGTTTCTTGGGAGTTGGTGGTGCGATGTTGCTGCTGCTGCTTCGTCAGTCTCGAGAGAAATCCAGAGAGGTGGGGAAGGAGAGACGTTGGCCGTCGGATCTTTCGTCAAATCTGTCTATCGGGTCGATCTTATCCTGTGAATTTAAATATGTAACCGTGGAAATCGTCGGCGCCTCCCCCTGTGATGCGACGCTTCGCTACATCGCACTTTTCAGGGAAGGACAGATCGCAAAGGTTCGCGCACGGGTAACTCTGGATTGCGTGTCCAGGTGATCCGAACCGACTTGTGGAACAAGGCCCAAGCCGTGTGCCGAACCTAGCCCTTCTTGAAAGCCGTCCAGGTCAAGTCTGGGGCCGGCATATCGACGGCATTCTGGAAAACCCAGCCCGAACCTAAATTGTGAGGCCTCTACTGATCGCCAACTAGGTCAGGCAAGCGAACAGATAGGTACAGTATCTCAAGGAGCCCCAATCGTCTTCCGTGATTGGTGCATTCAATGCAGCCTACCCCTCTCAGATACTACCTCCAACTTAGGTAGCCGCCACGCCGCTAAACACGGTAAAGTTACAACCAAGCTGTATTCGGATCGGATGTATGTACTACATGCTTTGCATCTTCCATAGTGGATGAGTGAAAATGGGAAATTACTCCGATGAGGGTTACTCACATTCAGCTAGCTTCTTCAACAATCGGCTTTCTCATGAGGAATAGGAACCTTCAATAAGGGTACATTCCTGTCTGGACATTTGTGTCACAAAGCGGAGGTACCGCTCTGTACCGAATGGAACCGCTTTGTTAAAACATTTCGAACTTGGGTTCGATTCGGTACAGAGCGGTACCTCCGCTTTGTGACACAAATGTCCAGACAGGAATGTACCCTAAGAGTATATGCCATTTCCACGTATGCAAAACATAGTACATCCACCTGCTGGACGATGTGCAATCTAATTCTCAGCTGCCAGTTTCTTCTCTTCAGCAGCCCGCATTCTGCCTGCATATCTTGCTGCAACCCAAGGTGCCAACTCAGTCACCCCCGGTTGCCGCGGGTTCGACCGATAATAATTGGACCAATGGCTGTGCAGCAAACTCGCCTTGAGCCCGCCTGTGGACGAATCGTACAGCAGAAACGGCAGCCAGGGGTCATCTGAGCTCTGCTTCACACTGCCACTGCTGCTGCTGGTGCTGCTGCTGTTGCTGCTGTCTTTGCTGCTGCTGCTGCTGCTGCTGCTGTTGTTTCCATTGCTGCTATTCCTAGCAGCCTGTCGCCTCCGCTCTCTCTCACGGGGGTAACACAGAGGGGCCTGCAGGTACCTGCACGTGGGGACACAACATGAGGATGGGTCTTAGGAGGTCAATGTGAGGACCAACTTTGAAGGCTCTTAGAATGGCAATTTGGGGCTGCATATGGGTTGCTTAGTTGCATGGTCGCATGCCCGAATGATGCCGTGCAACCATGCAACCTGATGCAATCCCGCGCACCTGCCATCCCTCCCACCTGATGCCATCCCACCCACCTGATGCCATCGACCCAAGAGTCCCAGTGGAAGTGCGTGTGCCCGAACACGTGGCACGCTGTGGGGCCGCCACGTGGACCGTGCACGGCGCGCACACGCGCCTCCAGCCAATGGGAGCCCGCCATCTTGGCGAGATTGGGATACAGCAGCATGCGCTTCTCGGGGAGCAGATCGATCCTGAGGGGTTTGGGAGGTGCGCGGCGAGGGGAGGGATGTGAGAGGAAGAAAGAGGAGGAACAGACCTAAATATTTATATACAGCAGCATGCGCTTCTCAGGGAGCAGATCGATCCTGAGGGGATTTGGAGGAGGGAGGAACAGGGTGGGGTGCAAGGGAGTGGTGAAGGGCGGGAAACCGCTTCAAAGATTAGGATACAGCAGCATGCACTTGTAGCGAGGAGCAATAACAATCCAAGGGGACTGGAGGGACGCGTACGGGTTCCCAGTTCGAAAGTCAATCATGGAGGGATTGGAAGGTGCACAGGAAGGTGAGGGATGTTGAGGGATTGCGAGGAGAAAGGGAGGCGGGGAAACAGCTGCAGAGGTTGGGAGAATCGAAACCCTAAACAGCACAGCCGCATACACATCAACGCAAGCACGCGTACATGCACACCTGGGAAGGAAGTGAGAGAAAGAGATGATCTGCACGCCCTCGGCTCCACTGCCCTCCACACTGGCCTCCGCAAAACTGCCCTCTGCACCACCCCCCTCCGCACCACTGCCCTCCGCACCACTGCCCTCTGCCCCACTCCCCCCCAGCGGCACAGCGGCACTGTTCTCAGGCACACGGAGCGAGAAAGGAGCAGATGCGCTCGTGCTGCTTGTGGTGCTGCTGCCGGTGTGGCTGCTGCTTGTGGTGCTGTTGTTGCTCAGAGCAACTTGGGAGCCGCTGCTGCTGTTGACAGCAGCTGTGCTGTTGCTTCTCTCGACAGCAGCTGTGCTGTTGCTGCGCTTGATAGCAACTGCGTTGTTGCTTCTGCTGACAGTGCTAGCAGCGCTTCCAAAGCCGGCAGCAATGGAAGTGGCAGTGCTGGTGGCAGTGCTGGTGGCAGTGCTGGTGGCAGTGCTGGTGGCAGTGCTGGTGGCAGTGCTGGTGGCAGTGCTGGTGGCAGTGGCAGCAGCATCAGCAGCAGCAGCCAACACAAGGGTGTGATGCGCTGCCACCTGCTGCTGTGATACCACCTGCTGCTGCTCTGCCATCTGTTGCTGCTTTGATGCCACCTGCTGCTGCCTTGATGCCACCTGCTGCTGCTGTGATGCCTCCTCCTGCTGCTGTGCTGCCCTCTGCTGCTGCTGCTGCTGCTCTGCCTCCTGCTGCTGTTGGGCTGCCACTTGCTGCTGCTGAGATGCCACCCGCTGCTGCTGCTCTGCCATCTGTTGCTGCTTTGATGCCACCTGCTGCTGCTGCGCTGCCTTCTGCTGCTGCTGATCTGCTTTCTGCTGCTGCTGCTCTGCTTTCTGCTGCTGCTGCTCTGCTTTCTGCTGCTGCTGCTCTGCTTTCTGCTGCTGCTGTGATGCCAGCACCAGAGCAGGAAACACGTGAGGGTGCTGTGCTCCCAGATGCTGCAGCAGCCGCTCATTCATGCTGTCAAAATGGGCTGCCAAAGCGTCACCTCCGTCCCCGAGAGAGTGCAATGGTGCGGAGGAGTGTGGTGCGGTGAGGTGCGGTGAGGAGTAGGAGGGGGAGGGCGAGGGAGGAGGGGAGTGAGAGGGAGTGAGGTGGGGCGGCCAGACACACACTCGGTAGTCCATGCAAGCCTGATAGGGCACAGAGGGGAATACAGGCAAATTAAGACGAATAGAGACGAATAGAGACGAATAGAGGCGAACAGAGGCGAATAGAGGCGAATAGAGACGAATAGAGACGAATAGAGGCGAATAGAGGCGAATAGAGGTGAATAGAGACGAATAGAGACGAATAGTGGCGAATAGAGACGAATAGAGGCGAATAGAGACGAATAGAGACGAATAGAGACGAATAGAGACGAATAGAGGCGAATAGAGACGAATAGAGGCGAATAGAGGCGAATAGTGGCGAATAGAGACGAATAGAGGCGAATAGAGACGAATAGAGGCGAATAGAGACGAATAGAGACGAATAGAGGCGAATAGAGACGAATAGAGACGAATAGAGACGAATAGAGGCGAATAGAGGCGAATAGAAGCGAATAGAAGCGATTTGGATGGAAAAGTGGGGAGGCAGTGGGAGGAGGAGAGGTGGGGGTGGAGACAGCTGGAGGGAATGAAGGAGGAAAGGGGAGTTGCAAAACATGAGGACGTTGGGAAGGGAGGTAGTGAAAAGGGTATTAAGGACGAGAGGGAGGGGATGAGAGATGGGATGGAGAAGGGGAGGGAGGAGGCGAGGGAAGGAAAGGGGAGCGGGGGGGCGCCGAGAGAAGGCGAGATTAAGGGTGGAGTCGTCCACCTTACGCAGCGATGGCACTCGGAGGTTCAGAATGTCAGGCTCGGTGTCAAAGCTCTGTACAAGACAAGCGAGCACAGGGGAGCAGAGACAAGGGGGTGTGAGCAGTGTGAGCACGAGCAGAGAGAAGGTGCAGTCACACACATATCCCCTCTCTACACATGCCCCGTCCCTACACATGCTCCTTCTCTACACATGCTCTGTTACCTGGTGGTGCCACGACCAGAGCGGAACAATCCAAACGTCACCGACCCGCATCGGCTCCGTGCGCACGCCCCACCGCTCGCAGCACTGTAGCACCTTCGTCAGCTTGTGCAGGGAGGTGAACGGCTCGGGGGAGGGCGGGGAGGAGGAATCTGGCAGTCCGTCTCCTTTGCCCCCTGTATTGCGATCGTCATGATGTTCGTGGTTGCTGTGCTCGCTGTGCTGAGTATGGTGGGTATGGTGGTCGTGGTGGCGGCACCAGAGCTCGTGGTTCCCAGGGATGAAGAACACGTGGTGGAACGCTGATGTCAGCAGCTGGAAGGTGCGCGAGAGGACCTGTGAGGCACAGCAACGAGCAGCAGCAGATGGATTTGAATGGAGGGATACTGGTGAGAGGTTCAGAGAGGGAGGGACAAGAGATTGGCTGAATCGAGGAGATTGCAAAAAATGCTTCAATTTGTAATCCACCAAAACTTGCACCCTGGGACCTCACCTGAGAACTCACCTGACGACTCACCTGACGACCCACCTGACGACCCACCTGAAGATCCACCTGACGACCCACCTGACGACCCACCTGACCTCAAGATTGTCTGTAACGTCGCCTGCCAGTATGAGCACGTCTCTCCCCTTCGTAGAACCTTCCGACCTCTGACGTGTCGCCGTCAGCCGTTCCACCCACTCCATGTTTTCCGCGTGATCCGTGTGAATGTCTGACACCACGTAGACACGTGTCACATCCGCCTGCTTGCCACGTGGCGAACGATCAGGCTCGTCTGATTCGGTCATACTGCCAGGGGGTCCAGACGCGAAAATCCCCGCTAAGAGCAGATTTGATAACGATTTCCGGCCAGGCCGACCCCTGAGAGTGTTCGATAAGCGTGAAACGAGGCTAGATCGTCGGCTTTGTGGATTATAGAAAGCTCTAAGCTCCGAGTTGCGAAGAATTTGAGTCACCGCTCTGCACCGATCAGATTCGCAACTTGAGCTCGCTGCGCCGGCGAGAGTACGCCGAGAGAGAGGAGCAACGGACAGCAGCGAGCTCGCAGGCGAGAAACTAAACGTCCTACTGTAACTTAAACTAATATCATTCACGCTACTACTGAATTCCGCTGACAGTGCCAGTGAACGTTCAGCCACGAAACTTCTGGAAAGACCGTCTCCGCGAACTCTCGTCCCACCGAAACAATCGCGGTGGGAAAAATAGCAGCACTCGACACGTGCCAGAATCCTGGCAGCGCATGGCAAGGAAATCGACGGTGACGGGTCCGCGAACGAGCCAGGCCGAAAGGCACGAGAATCGGCGAGCATTAGAGGAGCGCGGGTGAAGCGGAGAGGACTACTACTATGGTTTCCGAGGAGCGTTGGAGGGTGAGAGGAGAATAATGGGGATGCACGTAGCACGCGAGGAGGTATTTAGGACGTGTCGAATGCAGAATATCAACGAGGTTATATTCCGGCTCTGTAAGTGGTTCGTCAGTGGGGTTCATCCATACCCGATATGCAGTTCATCCACAAGTTGTCTTATGATAATTGCTTAATGTGGTAAACCGTTTACATCTAATAGGTCTATTCCTTTCCACTCAGAGATAAGTGTACAAAAGGTTACTGTGATGCAACTTCAAAGAACAAAGGTTGGCGGCAAGCCATGGATCAGAAACAAACAGGCAGGCCAAGGCAGTAGACAACACACATGGCTGGGGAGGAAAGACTTAGTCAGGCTTGGCAGAATAGGTACAGTGATTCCAGGGTACAGATTTTCACACAGCTCTGCTAGCTCGTCGGCATCCCTTCACGATCTCCCACTCTAATCTCGTGCATACGTGTGTGCGCTGGATTTTGCGTGTGTTGTTGCTTTATGTGAATTTTGGTGAAGTCTCGAGTGAGTAAGGCATGCCAATCTTGCGCCAAATTCGCACAGATGTGTGTGTGAAAGTCGCCGCCAATCAGAATTGTAAACAAGTGCCAAATGTTCCCCGTTCTCAACTAGAGTCGTCTCGGGGTGAAAAAAATAAAAAAGCACAGCACTTCAACTTTTCTAAACGTTCCAAAGAAACTAGTGTTTTCAAGTGGACCCAACTAGAAGGGGGGGGTCACTATTTTGCCTACGGGCTTTAACCCAAACTAGCAGCACAAGACAAGCAGAGGAAGGTGAAAGGAAAGAGGTGGAGGATGGGTGGGAAGATGTGAGAGCGAGATCGTGGTTGCACTTACACGGGCAGGGCTGTGGAAATTAAGCTGAGCTCAACTGTTTTGTGCTGTGCTGTGCTGTACGCTGCCATGCACTGCAGTTTGCTGTGCTGCGCTGTGCTGTGCTGTGCTGTGCGGTGCGATGCGGTGCCTTGCTGTGCTGTGCAGTGCTGTGTGCACACCCACACCCTCTTTGAGAGACATCGCCAATCAAATGCTTCCGATAAGCTCCCTGCTGCACCGCACACGTGCATTCAAGGCTGGAAGGGCGACAAATGGGTGTGTCCGAACCCCACTCCCCCTCCTCCCCAAGCTTTGATATTCTAGACGACTTAAATCCCAAAAATCATGTCTCCACTGAAACAAATCCGATGGGCTGCTTGCTGTACAGCAGATGCAGGCTCAAATGGTGGGGCGGGTGACAGGCAGAAATGTCCGACTCAGAACCCCCCGCGAGCTTCCCTAGGAGTGTCGGGCACTTGCACAAAGGGGTGTTGTAATAGCTGCTCAGCGGAAGGAGGCGCGGGAGGGGGGCGAGAGGGAGATGTGTTGTTAAGAAGTGGAAAGTGTATGTGCATCTGAGAGTGTGCAACAGGTAAGAGTGTGTGTCAGACCCCCCCTTTTTGAGTGTCAGGCACTTGCACTTGCACAAAGGGGTGCTGTAGCAGCTGCTGCTCAGGGGAAGGAGAGGTGGGAGGGTGAAGAGAGGGAGATGTGTTGTTAACAAAGTGGAAAGAGTATGTGCATCTGAAAGTGCGGGTGTGTCAGAACTCCCCGCGGGTTTTCCTTGGAGTGTCGGGCACTTGCACAAAGGGGGAAGGAGGAGGAGCGGGAGGGGGAAATGCGGGGGAAGGAGGAAGAAGGGGGGGGGGGGGAGGTGTTGGGGGAGAAGAGGGGGAGAGGAGACGGGGTCGAGCTGGAAGCAGGCGCGAGTAAGACTTGGCCCTTGCAGCCACGCTCCCCAGGGATAGTAAATTGAGCACACCCACCGTTCCTCACGCATGGTCCTACAGCTCACAGCTGCACACCACTCACACACGCCCACTCACCTCGGTGGCAGAGGGACGTTTTCCAAGGTCGAGCTTGAAGCAAGCAGCAAGGAAGTACCTTCCCTCCTCGCTGCTCACTCACACACACACCAACCCAAAAACTGACCAGCCCACATATACACACACAGTGGTGAGAACTCACCTCAGCAGCAGAGGGGCGCTCTCCAGGGTCGAGCTTGAAGCAGGCGGCTAGGAAGTCCCTTCCCTCCCACTGATGCGCGATGCAGCACACCCACTCGCACCCACACCCAGACACACCCACACCAACACACACCCACTCACACCCACAAACCCACACCATGCACACACACCCACTCACATCGGTGGCAGAGGGGCGCTCTGCAGGGTCGAGCTTGAAGCAGGCAAGGAGGAAGTCGCGGCCCTCGTCGCTGCACTCCTCAGGGATGGGCGGGCCCGTGGTGGTCTTGGCGATGTGGAATATGGCCGACCACGTGTTGTCCATGTTGGGCCATGGGTGGCTGGAGGGGGGAGATGCGAGGATGGGAGGAGGGGGAAAAGGGGGAAGGAGGGGAGGGCAAGGTTTAGCAAGGGGGAGAGGGAGAGAGCGGAGAGCAAGTGGTGGTCTTGGCAGTGTAGAAGATGGCCGACCACGTGTTGGGGAAGTGGGGAGTGGTTGGGTGAGGAGGGCATGAGGGCGGGAGCAGGGAGCAGGGAGCAGGGAGCAGGGAGCAGGGAGCAAGGTCAAGTGGTGGTCGTGACGATGTGGAGGAAGCTGGCTGTCATTGCCCATCTCGCACCTGCCAATGCTCATGCATGCACCCACCTGCCTGTACATGGACACTAGCAGCACCACAAGCCACACTCCCACCTGCCAGTGAGCATCTCAATGACGGTGCACCCAAGGCTCCAGATGTCACCCAGCTACACCCATCCACACTCCCCGCACTGCGCCCACCTGCCAGTGAGCATCTCAATGACGGTGCAGCCCAGGCTCCAGATGTCAGCGCGGCGGCCGTACCCCTCCCCTTTAATGACCTCTGCACCCAAGGCTCCAGATGCCACCCAGATACACCCATCTACACCCATCTACACTGCTCTCACCTGCACACCACACATTCTCACCTGCCGGTGAGCATCTCAATGAGGTGCAGCCGAGACTCCAGATGTCACCCAACTGCACCCAGCTGCACCACATTGCCCCCACTGCTCTCACCTGCCCGTGACCATTCCTCACCTGCCGGTGAGCATCTCAATCACGGTGCACCCGAGACTCCAGATGTCGGCACGGCGGCCGTACCCGTCCCCCTTGATCACCTCGGGCGCCATCCAGAACACCGACCCGCGGATCGACTTGCACCCCTCGCCCACCGTGCCCTCGTGAAACGCCTGGGGGGGGGAGGAAGGGGGAAGGGGGAAGGCAGGGGAGCGGAAATAAGTGGGCAGGAGTAGGAAGGGGGTGGCGGCCGTACCCATCCCCCTTGATCACCTCGGGCGCCATCCAGAACACCGACCCGCGGATCGACTTGCACCCCTCTCCCACCGTGCCCTCGTGAAACGCCTGGGGGGGGGGAGGAAGGGGGAAGGGGGAAGGCAGGGGAGCGGAAATAAGTGGGCAGGAGTAGGAAGGGGGTGGCGGCCGTACCCCTCCCCCTTGATCACCTCTGGCGCCATCCAGAACACCGACCCGCGGATCGACTTGCACCCCTCGCCCACCGTGCCCTCGTGAAACGCCTGGGGGGGGGAGGAAGGGGGAAGGGGGAAGGCAGGGGAGCGGAAATAAGTGGGCAGGAGTAGGAAGGGGGTGGCGGCCGTACCCCTCCCCCTTGATCACCTCGGGCGCCATCCAGAACACCGACCCGCGGATCGACTTGCACCCCTCGCCCACCGTGCCCTCGTGAAACGCCTGGGGGGGGGAGGAAGGGGGAAGGGGGAAGGCAGGGGAGCGGAAATAAGTGGGCAGGAGTAGGAAGGGGGTGGCGGCCGTACCCCTCCCCCTTGATCGCCTCGGGCGCCATCCAGAACACCGACCCGCGGATCGACTTGCACCCCTCTCCCACCGTGCCCTCGTGAAACGCCTGAGAAGCACGGGGGAGCATGGGGGAGAGGGGAGGGCGGAGAGGGGAGGAGACGTTACAAAGCCCCCAAAAGTAGAATCCTCTCCCCCTCTCACCCTTAGAGGCCCCAAAATCTGCGAGCTTGATGACCTCGTCCCGATCACGAGCACCACCTTCTTTCCTCCCACCCCACTAATATCCCCCCTGCGCCTCTCACCTTGGAAGCACCGAAATCAGCAAGTTTAATAACCCCATCTCGGTCGACGAGCACGGTGCCGCCCTTGATGTCCCGATGGATGAGCTTGCACCCGTGCAGATACTCCAGCCCCAGCAGCAGACCATCCCATCCCACTCGCCCCACCTCCAATCCCTTACCATGCGCTGATCGTCCTCCCTCAACCCTGATCAGCCTCCAACCCCCTGACAGACGGCCAGCCCTTCAAGTAAAGGCTCACCTTGGAAGCCCCAAAGTCAGCAAGCTTGATGACCCCATCCCTGTCAACCAGCACGTTGCCGCCCTTGATGTCCCGATGGATGATCTTGCAGCCGTGCAGATACTCCAACCCCAGCAGCAGCTGCCGCGTGTACACGCGCACTAGGGACTCGCTGAACTTGCCAAACTTGTCCAGCATGCTGTGGGGGGGGGGAGGGGGGGGAGGAGGAAGATGGGGAGGAGAGAGGGAGAGAGGTATCAGGGTACAGTTCAGTTCAGCCGTGTTGGTATCACAGCAGCAGCAGCAGCAGCAGCTGCCGTGTGTACACGCGCACTAGGGACTCGCTGAACTTGCCAAACTTGTCCAACATGCTGTGGGGGGGGAGAGAGAGGGGGGAGAGGAGGGGGAGGCGAGGGGTGGACAGAGGTGGAGAGAGTTGAGGGCTAAAGAGGGGAGAGACGAGAGAGGCGGCGAGAGGGAGAGAGGCATGATCACCTCACCTCACCTGTGGACGGATGGAAACACCCTCTCCTTCCCTCTTTCCCCCCTCCTCCCCTCCCATCCCTCCCTTTCCTCACCTGTGGATGGACCCTCCAGAGATGAATTCGAGGAAGATGTAGAGAGACCCGTCACTGTCGTCCTTCTCCATGTCAATATATGCCACGATGTGCCGGTGCCGCATCTGGCGGTACAGCACTATCTCCTGCTCCAGGGCCGCTATGTGCATCGCCTTCTCGTCTCCCTGGGTGGTCATCTTGATCTGCTTCACCGCCATTAATTCTCCCGTCATCTCGTTCAGACCCAAGAACACCTGGAGTGGTTGTAGAGGTGGTGCGGTGCAGTGTGGTCGAGTGGGATGGAGTGGGGTGCAATGGGGTGGAATGCGATGCAGTGTGGTGGAGTGTGGTGGAGAGGGGTGGGAAGGGGTGGGAAGGGGTGCGAAGGTTAGCGGTGCCGCATCTGCCGGTACAGCACAATCTCCTGCTCCAGGGCCGCTATGTGCATCGCCTTCTCGTCGCCCTGGGTGGTCATCTTGATCTGCTTCACCGCCATTAATTCTCCAGTCATCTCGTTCAGCCCCAGGAAGACCTGGAGGGGTTACCGAGGTGGTGCGGTGAAGTGCGGTGAAGTGGGGTGAAAATGGGGTGAAATGTGATGGAGTGCGGTGGATTGCGGTGGAGAGGGGTGGGGAGGGGGTGGGAAGGTTAGCGGTGCCGCATCTGCCGGTACAGCACAATCTCCTGCTCCAGGGCCGCTATGTGCATCGCCTTCTCGTCGCCCGCTGAGATCATCTTGATCTGTTTCACTGCCATCAGCTCTCCTGTCATCTCATTCAGACCCAGGAACACCTGGAGGGGTGATAGAGGTGGAGTGGGATGGAGTGGGATGGAGTGGGATGGAGTGGGATTGAGAGGGTTGGAGTGGGATGGAGTGGGATGGAGTGGGAGGGAGTGGGATGGAGTGGGATGGAGTGGGATGGAGTGGGATGGAGTGGGATGGAGTGGGATTGAGAGGGATTGAGAGGGATGGAGTGGGATGGAGTGGGATGGAGTGGGATGGAGTGGGATTGAGAGGGATGGAGTGGGATGGAGTGGGATGGAGTGGGATGGAGTGGGATGGGGGCCGAGGATTAAGACTGGTGTCATCTTCATCTGCTTCATCGCCATCAGCTCTCCTGTCATCTCGTTCAGACCCAGGAAGACCTGGAGGGGTGAGGGATGGGGTGCGAAACAGGGTAGGAGGGTGGAGTGGAGTGGTGTGGAGTAGGGTGGAGTGGGGCTGGGTACTGAGGGTGGGTGTCATCTTGATCTGCTTCACCGCCAGCTCTCCCGCCATCTCGTTCAGCCCCAGGAAGACCTGGAGGGGTGAGGGAGAGGCAGGGGTGGTACTGTGGAGTGGGGTGGAGTGGGGTGGAGTGGGGTGGAGTGAAGTGGAGTGGGGTGGGCGCTGAGGATTGGGATCATTGTTATCTTGATCTGCTTGTCGGGCATCAACTTACCCGTTATCTCTTTCAGGCCCAAAAAGACCAGCAGTGGAGGGAAGGACGAGGTGGGGCTGAGGTTCGGCAACAAGTTGGGTCGCAGGTTGGGTGGCAGGTTTGGTGGCAGGTTGGGTGAGAGGAAGAATAGTGGGAAAATCGATTGAGTCACAACACACAAATGCACAACACCCCTCAGCTGACATTGAGCTGTCTTGCGAAAACATGAGACTCAAGATCACAACCACAATGACACTCAGGATGACACCCACAGTGACACTGAGAATGACCCCCACAATGACACTCAGACACGCACCTTGCCATACGCCCCCTCGCCCAGCAGCTCGCCCCGCTTCCACTTCATCATGCCCAGTGAGGCCATCGGCTCATCCCCCATCCCATCCCCCAGCAAACCACTGTTCCCCACGAGCTCACAACTCACTTCACAGACGAGCAGCCACCTGCATCTCTCGCAACCAGTGAGCCCCTCACACACGCACCTTGCCGTAAGCCCCCTCGCCCAGCAGCTCGCCCCGCTTCCACTTCATCGTGCCCAGTGGGGCCATGGGCTCATCTCCCATCAGCTCCTTACTCTTCACCCCCCCTGCTGCTGCCGGTGATGCCTTCTCCTCCTCACTCCCCTCCTTCTTCCCCCCTTCCTTCTTCTCCCCCTCCTTCTTCTCTCCTTCCTTCTCTTTCTGAACTTCCCCTCCGTCCTTCTTCTCCCCGTCCCCTGCCTTCTTCGCACCCCCACCAGCAGCATCGTCGCGGTTATTGGGGTTGGTGGGGCAGTCACACTGCAACTCCCCACACGCCACACACCCGCCCCTGGCTGCAGCGTCCCTCCAATCCGGCCTAATCAGCTTCAGGACTTCTTCAGATATCTGCTCAGGTGAGGGGGTACTTGCTCCCGTGCTGCCACTGCCACTGCCGCCGCTACTAGCACTAGCACCAGCATTAGTACTCGCACTAGCACTAGCACTCGCACTCGCACTGCCAGATGCTGCTGCCGCTGCGCCTGCTGCTGCCCGTCTGTTACTAGGCGACACAGGCACCTGCCCTCCTCCCTTCTTCTCCTCCTCCTTCCCACCGCCGCCCTTCCTCTCCTCCCCTCCACTCTCCCCCTCCTTCTCCTTCTTCTCCCCCTCCCCATCCGTCGGCAGTGCAAACTTCACCGATTTCCTCTCTCTCGCCCCCTTGGGCGTCATCCGCCCGCTCCCCCCTCCCCCACCCCCTCCGCGCCCCTCCTCATGCCCACTTCCCCCTCTAAGCGGGCTCCTAGCCCGCCCTGGCCCACTCCCCCCCGCTCCCCCTGCTCCTCCTCCCCCACTAGGAGTGAGTGGTTTCTTCTGAGCAGCGCCCCCCTCGTCCTCAAAGCCTGCAGGCTCCCCCACCCGCAGAGAGGCAGGTCGCCTAGCAGAGTCGCTTCCAGAGGGGGATCGGGACGGTGCCATTGAACCTCCGCCCCCCCCTGCGCCCCCCCCTCCGCCTGCGCCCCCACCAGCGGAAGAAGCAGCGCCTGATGCTGCTCCCCCACCTGCGGCTGCTGCTGCTGCTCTGTTGGGAAGCCGCCTGCCAGTGTCACTGTCGCTGTCCCCGTGCCTCCCGCCCTCCCCATCCCGATCCTCTGCTGCCGAAGCAGATGTAGAAGCAGCAACACGATGCAGCCTCCCGCTGTGCCCCTCCGCCGCCCCCCCCACCCCTCCTCCCCCTCCTCCTTCCAGCATCGCAGCTCCGTTCCACGACGCATACATATTCTCCCTCCCCCCGCGCCCGCCGCCCCCTCCCACGTGCTGCCGCCTCTCCCCGCCCATCCCCGCCCCGCCCCGCGCAACCCCGCCCTCCTCTCTCTCATCATCTGAACTCGCCCTCCCGCCAGCCCCCGCCACATCCCCTGCGCGCCCCCCTCTCCCCCCATACGGGTTCCCAAACACATCAACCACGCCCCTAGCCCCTCCCCCACCCGATTTCCCATCCAAAGACCCCCGCCTACTCCCCCCCCCACCCCCCAGATCCAACCTCCCCATACTAGCCGAATCCACACTATCATAGGGGGACCTTCCCCGCATGCCCCCTCTCCCAGGCGTCCCAGGTCCCCCGCCCCCAGCTCCGCCTCCCCCAGCCCCCCCTGCTCCTCCGCCCCCTCCTCCCCCCCCTCCCCCGCCCCCTCCGCCTGCGGCTGCCTGCCCCACGAGGCGCTCTGCTCGGAAGTCAGCAAAGTTGCGTGGGCGGGGCTGGACGGCCAGACGCGAGCGGTCTGTGCTAGCTACGCCTGCTGCATTGGGGATATGGGGGGGCAGGGAGGGATGAGGGGGGAACGGGAGGGGGTGGGGAAGAGAAAGAGGGGCGGAGGGGGGGTTGGGTGAGAGGCATAAGGGGACGCAAGGGTGCAGAATACAAGGGCGCCCGGCGCTGCTGTGAGCACGGGTAGACCTGAGTCGCCTTTGAGAATTCTCAGATGCAAGAGTGGGGCTGGCCGGGGGTGACAGACAGGCAAGTGGGGAGAGGAGCGAGTCAGCGGAAGAATTGGAAGAGGGCGCGTGAGCAGGCGAGCAGGAAGGACGGGCAGAGGAAGGCAGCAGACGTGTGGCAGGGGGAAATCCAGCAGAGAGGCGGAAGGAGGAGGCGGAGGGGGAGTGGAGCAGAGAGAGCAGGGGTGAAGTGGCAAAGAACCGAGGAGCATAGGAGGGAGAAACGGAAAGCAGAGAGCACAGAGAAGCAGGGAGCACAGAGAAGCAGAGAGAACAGAGAAATCTGAGAGCGCAGACGGGCAACAGGGGAAGCAGAAGGGCAGCACGGGAACAGAGAGGGAGCAGAGAGACAAGAGAGGAAGCAAGGGAATCAGCAAGAGCCGAGCGCAAATGCAGGGGCAGAGGCAGTTTTTACCTGCGGTGTGCCGGCGGCTTCAGCAGGGAAGCAGAGGACACAGAGAGAGCCGAGCAGGGAGAGCCGGGGGAGCAGAGAGAAAGAGAGTGGCAGCAGGGGAAGCGGCGGGGCAGAAGAGGGAAGCAGAGTGGCAGCTTACCAGCAGTGTGCCGGCGGGCGCCAAAGCTACCAGCTTCAGCATCGGAGAGGTTGCTGTCGTTGGCCTGCACGATGCGCCTCGCGTACTGCTGCCCGCCCGACTCCACCGACAGCGTGCGCGAGTCCCGGATGTGCCTCCGCGCCAGTGACGCCGCCGGCCCCGCCGCCGCCACTCCCCCCGCCGCTCCCCCTCCCCCTGCCCCTCCCGGCCCCATATGCTCGTCCTTCCCCGCACCACCTGGCCCTCCTGCTCCTCCCCCTCCCCCTGCTGCTCCCCCTGGCCCCGGCCAGGCAAAGGCCGGAGAGTCGTCATCGCGGTCGTTCTCCCAGGCCTGCAGGAAGATCTTCTCGTTGCTGTCCAGCAAATCACGCGGGCTCTCCACGTCAGCGTGGTCCCCACCATCCCCACCCACTCCTCCTCCTCCGCCTCCACCTCCCCCTCCGCCTCCCCTTGCCCGAGCGTGAGGCTGGGACAGCCAATCGTCCTCTCGGGTGCTCCCTCGCTCCACAGCGGAGCGGCTGCCTGCGCCGCCCCGCCCCGCTGCCGGCCCCTGCCGCCCGGGCGGCTGCTGCGCGCTGCTGCCGCCGCCCAGACGCGTGCGGGCGGCGAGGGCGCGAGGGGAGATGAGCTGCTGGACCGACGACCCGTTGGGGACTGGGGGGAGGGGGGAGCGGGGAGACAGGGGAAGGGGCAGAGGGAACAAAGGAACAGGGGGGACAAGGGGCAGGGGGGGGGCAGGGGGGCAGGGGAGAGGAGCAGGGGGGAGGTGCAGGGGGGGGACAGGGGGTAGGAACCGGGAGGGCAGGAACTCAGGGGGGGCAGGAGGGAGAGGAAGTAACGATAGGACGAGCAGCGGGGGCAGGGGGGCAGGTGGACAGGGGGGAGGGTAAGATGGGGACAGAGGGGTGGGGGGGGCAAGGAGATGGAATGAACAGACTGATCACGTGAATACAGGAGGCGGTGGTCAGCTAGTCACTGGGGAAGGGAGCGAGTGGAGCAAGCAGGGGGGATAATAACGAACTGGGTACACACACACATTCATCACCGCACCCCCATAACCTCACCAACCCACCCACGCCCCCGTCATCAGACCATCACCCCACCCCCACACCCACATCAACCAGTCACCCCTGTCACTCACGCTGCTCACCTTCATCATCCCAGCCATCATCCACCATCCCGCCCACATCCCGCAGGCTCATCCGTCCCGATGTCCCAGGGGAGATCGGCAGCGACCCTCTCTCCCTACTCCCCATCACCCCACCCACACCCCCGTCACCCCACCCACACGCCCCCATCAATCACCCCAACCACACCCCCCACCACCCACGCGCGCTCACCTTCATCATGCCACCCGTCATCCACCATCCCGCCCACATCCCTCGGGCCCATCCTTCCCGACGTCCCTCCAAGATCCTCTCCCCCATCAACCCATCACCCCACCCACACACACCCATCACCACACCCTCTCACCTTCGTCATCCCACCCATCATCCACCATCCCGCCCACATCCCTGGGACTCATCCTCCCCGACGTCCCAGGGGAGATCGGGGGCGATCCTCTCAACCCCCTTCCCCCTCCGCCCCCTCCGCCCGCCCCCGCGCCCTCCCCGTCCCCCACGAGCCCGTGGCGCTGGTGGTATTCGTGCAGCTTGCGGAAGAGCGTGCGGATGCGGTCCGTTGACGCCAGCTGCTGCGGGTACAGCCCGTCGCGATTGCGCGCATACATGTTGGCGCCCGCTACAAGTAGCAGCTTGATTATGCCCCTGGGGGAGCGGGTGGGGGCGGTGAGGGTGGGGCGGGAGGGGGGGAAGGGGGGGAGGAAGGGGCGGAGAGGGAAGAGGGGGAGAGGGGGTGAAGAGGAGCAGTGGCGCTGATCATGCCTCTGTTGGGGGAGGGGGAGAGGGAAGAGGGGACAGGGGGGGAAGAGGCGCAGTGGCGCTGGTGGTATTCGTGCAGCTTGCGGAAGAGCGTGCGGATGCGGTCCGTTGACGCCAGCTGCTGCGGGTACAGCCCGTCGCGATTGCGCGCATACATGTTGGCGCCCGCTACTAGTAGCAGCTTGATTATGCCCCTGGGGGAGGGGGGTGGGAGGGAGGGAGGGAGAGGGTGGGGGGGGGAAGGATCGGTGGGGGCAAAAGAGAGAGGTATTGGGGTGTAAGGTTCAGTGGGCCGGCCTGTACATGATGTTGCGCACGCATATGTTGTACCACACTCTCAATGCACCTGTCTGTCACACCGAGTTGACTTTTGAGTCGACTCAAAAGTCAGTGGGCCGGCCCGGCCCGTACATAATGTTGCGCACGTATATGTTGTACCACACTCTCAACGCACCTGTCTGTCACACCACACTCCCAACAACACACCTGTGCCTCATGAGTGTACTGTACCTGTGGCCGGCAGCACAGGCGCAGTGCAGCGAACGCGTTGTACTGCTTGGCGTCCTGCGCTTTGATGGCTCAGAGGAGGCCACCAGCAGCACGGCAACCTGTGCCGCCGCATGACTGCACCTGAGCCTCACACCACCACACTCCCAGCGCGCCTGTGCCCCATGGCCGTACCTGTGCCCAGCAGCACATGCGTAGTGCAGCGCGGTGTACTGCTTGGCGTCCTGCGCGTTGATGGCCCAGAGGCCATCAGCACCACAGCAACCTGCGCCTCATGACCGCACCTGTACCTGGCAACACCTCACCACCAGTACTTCAGGCCCACATTTATTCATGACTGTACCTGTGGCCGGCAGCACAGGCGTAGTGCAGCGCAGTGTACTGCTTGGCGTCCTGCGCGTTGATGTCCGCCCCGTGCGACAGCAGCAGCGTGACCATCTTGTCGTTGCCCGTCTGCACCGCGTACATGATGGGCGGCATCTGTGTGGTAGGGGACGGGAGGAGGGGGCGAGTGGAGAGCAGCAGTGAGGGCCAAAGGAGGGGAGTGAGCAACATGCAGCGTCACCATCTTGTCGTTGCCCGTCTGCACCGCGTACATTATGGGCGGCATCTGTGTGGAGGGGAAAGGAGGGGGGGCGATGTGAGAGACGGACAGAGGTAGTGAGCAACATGCAGCGTGACCATCTTGTCATTGCCTGTCTGCCTGCACCGCATACATCATGGGCGGCGATGGGAGGGATGGGTGGAAGGCATGAGCAGAAGTGAGGGCCACACCACAGGAGGGGAGTGAGAGGCAGCAGCATCGTCACCATCTCGCACCCTGCTGCTCATGCTGCTGCTCATGCTGCTGCTCACCCTGCTGCTCACGCTGCTGCTCACGCTGCTGCTCACGCTGCTGCTCACGCTGCGTCCATACTGCCCTCACTCTCTCTCGCTCACCTGCGCGGACTGCCCGCCATCTCACCTGCGCGGACTGCCCGCCATCTCACCTGCGCGGACTGCCCGCCATCTCACCTGCGCGGACAGCCCGCCATCTCACCTGCTCGGACTGCCCGCCATCTCACCTGCGCGGACTGCCCGCCATCTCACCTGCGCGGACTGCCCGCCATCTCACCTGCGCGGACTGCCCGCCATCTCACCTGCGCGGACTGCCCGCCATCTCACCTGCGCGGACTGCCCGCCATCTCACCTGCGCGGACTGCCCGCCGTCAGGGTCAGCGCCCCACTCAAGCAGCGCGCCCGCCGCCTCCGTGCTGGACGCCACCACCGCCTCGTGCAGGGCTGTGCGCTGAGACGCTGGTGGGGGGAAGGGGGGTACGGGGGGGGGGGAGAGGAGGAATGGGGAGAGCAGATGAGTAAGATCGCGTCTGTGCTGCACGCCACCACCGCCTCATGCAGCGCCGTGCGCTGCGAGGCTGGTGGGGGGTGGGGGTGGGGGAAGGGTTGGAGTGGGTGGAGAGGAGTGAGAGCCCGTCCATGCTGCAGCGCCACCACCGCCTCGTGCAGGGCCATGCGCTGAGAGGCTGGTGGGGAGAAGGGGAGAAATGAGGAGAGCAAGTGAGTAAGATCGCGTCCACGCCACCACCGCCTCGTGCAGGGCTGTGCGCTGGGAGGCTGGTTGGTGGGGGTGGTGGGGGGGGGGGAGAAGGGGAAGACGGGGGTTGAAAAGGGGTCGGGTGGGGGTTGAGGGGGGTTGAGGGGGGTTGGTTGGAGGGAGTGGAGCGGTGAGGGGGAGTGGAGCAGTGAGGGGGAGTGGAGCGGTGAGGGGGAGAAGGGGTGAGAGCGGTGACGGGGAGTGGAGAGGTGACAGAATTTCACGTGCGCATTGCCTTGTGCGACCCCGTGCCATCACCAGCTTCCACACTGTGACAGGGGGGGAGGGCGGATGGTGGTCGCGAACGGAAAAGCGTTGGGAGAGTAGGGGCGATGGGAGGAGGGGGGGGGCACAGATACACCTGGACGGGTTCTACCTGGATAAACAGTGTTGAGCAGGGCGGTGCGGGACGGCGCCTCCTGCAGGACCACGTTGACCAGGTCAACGTCGTTCTCCCGCACCGCCTCCATCAGCTCCGCCACCCGCCGCATGTGCTCCGCCTCCCCCCGCGACGCCTGGAAGCTTCCCCCGATGCCCCCGCCCCCGGGCCCCCCGGGGCCCCCGCCTGGCCCCCCTGCGCGGGCAGCGGCGCCGCTGGGCTGCGCGGAGGGCGTGGCGACCTTGACCATGCGGCGAGGGCTCAGCGAATCCTGAAGCGCGCAGGGGATGGGCGCAGGGGGGGGGGGGGGAATTGGTGGAGGGGAGAGGGGACGGGCGGGGGGGAAGAGATTAGGCAGAGGGTGAGGGGGTACGGCGTGGGAATATGCGGAGGAGGGAGAGAAAATGCGCACGACGGAGGGAATAGGCGGAGGGGGGAGAGAGTGGCGGAGGAGGAGGTTATAGGGTTAGGGAGTTGCGCATACGCGCAGGGGTTTGGAGGGAATCGGCGGAGGGGCGGAGGAAAAAACAGCAGTAAAAAAGGGTCAGGTGGATGAGCGACAGTATAACGGGGAGTGGAAGGGGGGGGGGGGGAGTGGAAGGCGGGGAGGGGAGAAGGGTAGCGAATGGAAAGGGGGAGGGGGGACATAGCGAGGGGAGAGGGGAGATGATGGAGAGAGAGAGAATGCGAGAGGGAGCAGCATAAGGCACTTATCATCGGATCGCGGAAGGCGACCAGATTAGGGTAAGCGCAATCCCGACTGGCCGACCAAGAGAGCAGAGCAAAGCTATGGCGAGAGGACTTTTGGTTCGACTCATAAGGCATTTGAATCGAACGCAAAAGACAGATTGCTGGCTGAACCGTGTCGAGAGCTAACGGCTTGCTGGCTGAACCGTTTCGAAAGCTAACGGCTTGCTGCCTGAACCGTGTCGAAAGCTAACGGCTTGCTGGCTGAACTGTCGAGATCACACGCCGCGGCTGCAGTGAGGAAAGGCACAACCACGTGACTTTAAAGTCCGACTTGAAGAGCCGCAGAACCATGTGCGCGAGATCACGAGAAGGGTACGGGGAAATGGGCGCGTTAAGACGAGTGATAAAGACAAGGAAGAAATTTTGGGTGTTGTAAGAGGAGCCCACGAATCTAGTTTTGAGACGTCTCAAAAATAAGAGGAGCCCACGAATGGAATCGCCGACTTCGTTCCCACGCGGCGAACATGGCGACGCTACTCTGGCGAGTTTCGCCGCTCGTCAAACAAAGAATGACTGGCGGATGAGACCAACAAGAAACCCATGATGGGCCGGTGATAGGGAACGCCGCGTACGACAAGCGAAAAGGAAAGGAGACGGACACATCTAAGCAAGCGGGGAGTCTGACACCAAACAACAATCACTTCAAGCCATTTAACATACTCAGCATATTTATCCCCGAATAACCTAATTGTATGTGAAATTGTGATTGAATGAACCAGAAGTGAAAGAAGAAGCAGAAGCAAGAACCCGCACGTACCAGCAGCACGGCAACTGACCGACCGTCCCGCCAGCCTTAATCATGACGCCTGCTTTCGAGTCGCCTCAAACACGGGCCTTTCTACGCGCGCCAGCGACTGACCTTCCTGCCGGCCTTGATCATATCAGCGTCCAGGCGAAGCGCGGCCGGCCGGCCGTACCCCGCCTCGTTGGAGCTCGCCGCCCGCCGCGGCTGAAGGTCCGCCGCGTGCTCCGCGCGGACTCCCCGCTCCCCCGACTCCCCAGAGTGACTCTCGGACCGCCCATGAATGGCATTGCGCAGCGGCGATGTGTTTCCGTGATATCCGCCGCCTCCCCCGCCGCCACCTCCGGCGGGGATCGTTATTCTCCTCTGGCCGCCGCCTCGGTTGTCTGCGAAGTCGTCGCCTTCGGTAAGCTGATGGCCTTCTTGCACCGTGCGAATCGGCGTGCGACCGGCTGGCCGTCGCACATGTTCGCCCGCTCGGCCGGGTGCGACTCCCGCGTTGGTCGGGGAGATTAAGTCCTCTGGGTATTGGATTCCCCGAGGAGCGGACACGTAAGCAGGACCGCGGTTCCGCGGAAAGTGGCGCTGCGGACTCAAGTCTCCGTCAGTTACGACTCGAGACATCGCGGCTCGATTATAACTTAACTCAAACTACCGCTGTTCCAGCCCCTGCATCCTATATATCGTAGCACAACGACGACTAAGTATCCAATAATTGAAGTCGTACCACAAAACTTACGCCTTACGATAAATATTACTCGCCAGCTAAGCAATAACCTAACGTCAGGTACCAACGGAACGACAGTTCCATAACTAACCGATACTATTCCACACAACTAACAACCGGAAAACATAAAGACACCCAACGCATTATCCAATCATAAAGGCGGCTCCACGTGCCAATCTCGGAACAAGGTGCGTGCGTGGATGGGGTTCCGTTGTAGGGGAGGCTCGAAGATGTGGTTGTGGGACCGTGGGTGGGTGGGAGGCATGGAGGCATGGAGGAACAGAGAAACGGGGACTCGGGGAGGGAAGGAGTGTGTGGTTGGAGGGGGGGAAGAGCCCAAGGCCAGTATGAAGAGAAAGCGACGAAGCATCAGGTGACGATAGGTCATGCTCGGAAAAGAAACGGGCAGGTAGTTAGGAATGTGCGGGACAAATGCTAAAGGTCAGGGTGAAGGGTTCAACGTGGGAATGCGTCTTGTCACCCCTCTCGATTGGATCCGAACGAGATATTAGTTAAAAGTATCAGGAAACACTGAAATTGAGTACTTTCTAAGGCATACAGGCAAATGTATGTGTCACACGGAACCCTCTTCGGAGCAGTAGGGTAGCAGCGGAATCTCCCGAACATCGTATCGTTTTCCAGTGCACAGCAGCGTGGTGTGGTGACGCGATTAAAGCATCCTCGAACGCCTTCGTCTTATGTTAACTAGCTTCCCCTATACTCTTCTTTTTTTCGGATGGCACTTGATAGAGTAAAAGAAGATGTCTTAATTGCAATACTCGACTCACAAGCAGGCCCTCAGATTGGTTTTAGGCAACACTTTCTGGTCAGTGTTGGTCCCAAAAAAAAAAACTTTCTGTCAGGGTCCTTATGTGAAAACACCCTGAAAAATCAGTGTTGTCTCTACAAAAAAACCTTTCCCATCAGCCTGGTCTCCTCCTGCCTCTGCCTCCTCCTTCCCCCGACGCCTCCTATCTGCCTCCTGCCTGGCGATGTTGCAGGTGTTGAGCGGCTTCCGCTTCTTGTAGTTACGCCAGATCTCCACGATCTCGTCCCAGTTAGGCTTGTAACGGAGCAGCGACATGCACATTAAGTCACTAAGCCGAGCATCTTTGAGGCTGCCTCGCTGCCAGGACTTAATGACGTTCTGCCACGAGATGCCGCGCTCGCATTCGACTGTGCTCAACGGCAGGACCGCCACCGCCACCCACAGCCGCACCAGGTTCGGGTAGTGCTCCTGCCAGTCATTGGTCTTGAGCATGGCGGTAAGCCCAGTGTGGAATCCTCGCTCACCCTTCGGTGCTCGTGAAAGGACGGGGATTAGCAGTCGCACTTCCTTGGCTGCTTTCTTCTTGTCGACCCCTGCAGTCAGAAAAAACAAGCATAGATTGAAGAACATTGTTAAAATCATAGAAATCTTACATGACACAAGGATGTAGAGGCACGGCATGCACACTCAAGGTATTAGGCTCACCAGGTATGATCTCCTCGCACTCTTCCACCCGGAAGAGAGTGATTAGCGCCTCCAGATGCTCCTGACACTTCGCTTGGCGCTCGTGCCTGCCGTGCGGCCAATTGTCGGGAGTGAACAAGCTCACGCCCGAGAGCTTGTCGAGGTCGCCCAACCGGTCCAGGAGGTTGGCCACGATGAGCTCAGCGAACTCGGTGCAGATGTCAATGCATGCGTCGTGGTGCCCAGGTCTAGGGTAGTCCGCAAGTCTGTCTTCATGCAGTGTGAATGTGAAGGTGCATGCCTGCCCGTCGGAGTCGCTGCCCTCGATGGTGACTTCCCGCTTGTCTTCAGGACCATGCTTCTCCAGCCATGGTGAGAGCCTCGGACTGAGCCCGCCGCCAAACTCATCCCCGCGGGCCTCCAGATGTCCAGTTGTACGGCGAATCTGCGTATGCACAGAGCTGCGGGGGATGGAAGCAAGGCAGAAGAAGGAGGGTAGGACGCATTTTTTACTAAAACAGCAGATAGAAAACGGACAGAACACATAGACAATGGCCAATGCAAGTCTAGCCAATGTAGACGCACCTCTCGTCGCTGGAACGTCCTACTCAGAACGTTCATCTGGTCAAGCACGTCGGAAAGGAAGTGCAGGAGAAAGTGGAACCGGTACGACGTCACCACCAAGTACAGCTTTTCGTTCCACTCCTTCAACATCGTGATGACTGCCGGCAGGACCGCCACAAACCTGGCGATGGCATCACCACGTGATAGCCACCGTACACTGTGAATTCCCTGCAGCTCCAGAAAAGTTTCGGTAAAAACCTCCTGAAGGTCCTTGAAGCGCTGATGCCATGGACCCGAACGGCCCAGATGCTCGGCGATGGCACGGATGGTGTTGTCAATCATGTTGAAGACATGTAAGCTCTCGGCAGCATCCTTGGCGGCAAGGGCCTCCCTGCGAACACACTCACAGGAATAGTGTATTAGAACATGATGAAGGAATAAACCAGACAACGCATAAACGCACGATCTCTACTTACCGGTGTGCAATACAATGACAAGAGACGAGATGCGGTATGCGAAGCCGAAGCCTTGCAACCAAGCCCGAACGTGAACCCATCATCACGGAAGCCCCGTCCGTGCTGATGCCCACGATGCGCCTCAGGTCAACGCCACACGCCTCCAAGTGGGACAGCAACAACTGCAACAACGAAGCCGCATCCGCCTTGTCGACCGTCAGGAGCGCCATGAACTCGGTGGCGAGGCGTGAGTTGCGAATGTACGTGACGAACAAGATGAGGTGCTTGCCTTTGCAGCGATCGGTGCTCTCATCGCACGATATGCCGATGTAGGGACTTGCGAGAACCTCCTCGAGCTGTGTTGTCTGCAGCCACGTTGCCATAGACTGAGTCAGCTCCCCGAAGCCATACCTGACATGTAAGCAAAAACATGTTGGTTAGCCCATGCCATAACAAGCAGATAAGGACAATCAATCTTAGGATACAGACTTACGTGGTGTAATACGTCCCGTATCCCTTCTTTGGGAATCCGGGGACTCCCTTCTCAGCAAGGTAACGGACCAATCCCACCCACAGCTCAATGGGTGCATCTTGCCTGTTGACGAAGAGTAGAGCGTCCATCAGCGACACCACTCGGACCTTTTCGCTGTCGTGCGCGAGTGGATGCTCGTCAATCCGCGGCTGCCTCGTCGCTCCAACGAGCTGATCCTGCCATTGTTTCGCGAGCTTGTGCTTGTTGGTGGCAGCGTGTCGCGTGAATGCCTGCTTTTGAACATCGACTGCACCTTTGGTGCACTTGCCGGTCTTGCCAGACAACCCTGCATGTTCCAGACACACAGAACACTTGAAGGCAGGGAGACCAGTTGATGTACGAGACGAGCAGCCGGGGTCGCCGATGCAGCTGCCTGAGGGTGAGATGCAGGTGGAACGGGCCGACCTGCAGGGGACGCCACTTCGGGAGCAGTTGGTTCCGATGCAGGTGGAACGGGCCGAGATGCCGGGGTCGCCATCTCAAAACCTGGTGGTTGAGCCGGAGTAGTAACCATAAGAGATGCCGGGGACGGTGCTGCTGGTGTTGACGGCGAAACATGTACCGTCGTGGGTGCAGTGTCGGTGACATCGGGTGGCGTTGAGGTATTAATAACTGGGGCGACAATTGAGTCTGGTGGGGCGGAAGTTACGGTGGGAATAGCCGTCGCTGAAGTAACGGGTGGATTCTTGCTACGCGGTGGAATAGTTGCTTTCGATAACGAACACAGCAACAGGTCTAGACCAGTGCGTGCTATCTCCATCTCTATGTCGTCAGCCTCGTCGTCGGCAGCAGCACCATCAACGGGTCCAGCCATGGCGGGAGTAAGGACGAGTGAAGGAGGGTGGAGTGGAGAGTCAGCCGAGAAACATCGAGAACGAAGCACAACTAACCTAACACGGCGCTCAAGAATGGGGTGAAAGGGATGGGGAAGGGAGGGTCACCACACCTCGTTGGTGATTGGTTGACATCCTCAACAAACCCCACCATGCAGGCGTGGATGGTCCCCTATGGGCCATCCACGAAATGGGATGTGCCACTTTTTTCGGCACGATTCCACAGCGTCACGGTTTACGACCGTGACGCAGTGGAATCTTGCCAGCCCTGGCCATGTGATTGGGCGCGGTGTGTGATTACCTGAAACTGCCCAATCACTTGCCCAGCTTGACAGATGTTGGCGACAGCACATCAAGTCAGGTACGTGTGTGGATACAGTAAAGATGCCATTTTCCGTGATTGACGGTGACGGCGGAATGGCGCGAATTTTTGTTTTCCAGATAAACTGAATCTAGGCATTTTCGCAACTAGACCTGTACCCTGTACTGTATGATTCGATTCAGGGTCCCCAAGCAAAATCACGCTGGAAATTCAGGCCTAGTACGCAAAAGTTAGCTGGAAAATCAGGATAGGCATTAAAAAAAAAAAAAAATCCCATCAGCGCTGGGTCCTAAAAAAACCCTGAAAATCGGTGTTCAAAGCCTAAATCAGGGTAAAATTCCTGCAATCTGAGGGCCTGCTCACAAGTGACTATAGATACATAGGTTTCCTCATTCGTGCCATATATCATGCTTGTTTCAGATCTACTTTCGGTGTTAGTAGTGGGGAACACCCACACAAATGAGGATCCATATGCGGAGAATGCGTTACGTTATTGGTAGGATCAGCTTTGTGTGCAAAGAGAAATCCTGCTGCATAACATGAACTAATGCAATCGACTCAAATGTCGTGTTTCACTTGCCGCTCTTCTTCAATCCAACGCCTCCAATACATCCCTTAGCAGTCTTTGACACTAATCCCCTTTAAGCCTAAAAACAGGAGACATAACAGTATAAGAACTTCAAGAACACAAAGAGAAGGTACGCAAGATCGGACTATTACATCCTAGAAAAGGCAACA